GGTTGTTACCTCGCTCCACCACCCCCTGAGAGGCGTCTGTGCCCCCCACGGCCCCACGCGCGCCCACCGCCGCCCCGCACCCCCGCTCCGTCCCCGGCGCTCACCTCCTTGCGGGCATCAGAGCACACGCTCCGCGCTCGCCCACCTCATCCCGCCAAGGCCCGCACCCCCGTCCCCTGGTGGGTGCTGGGGCCACCGCCTCTCCCTGGTTTGGGCATCCTCTCTCCGCTGTCACTTGAATCTCGCCCAGCAGAAGCCCTCCCCAGTGTCGCCGAGGCCATGCCCTTCTCGCACTTGGGGCCTGTAGGTCTAAAGACTCCGCAAACTGGGAAACTGGCGGAGCCCCGCTACTCCCCGCCCGGCCCACCTTCTGTTTACTTTGCCACGTGGGCCGGGAAGGACCGGGATTCTCCCAGATCCAAGAGGAATTTCTCAGTGACTCTACTTCTCGCTAGATTCAGTCGTAAGAAATAAGACTGTACCTTCGAATGCTTACGTTTTCTCCCATAAAAGCCTCTATTGTAAAAAAAAAACCAAAATTTCCATCCGTATAGTTAAGTAACAAGAAATCGACCCATAAAGGACAGACTTCCGAATGACGGGCGCTCGATTTTTCCCTGACGTTCCGGACTGGATAACTACCCCGGTCCATTGAAAGTTTTTCTTTTCCGTTGCCAAGTAGTTTTACTTCTCTTTTTCATGTTCCTTTTTCTAATCATAATTTTTACTTAAAAAGGAGATAAAGAACAAAGCCCATATGAATGATATTGAAGAGTTTTTGAGATTTGCCCTCTGTCTTACAGAAATTCTCACGTTTCTGACATTCAAGTTTTAAGTACAGATTTGGGGCACATCATTTATAGGATCACTACATTGTGTCCCTCCTAAATCAACACAGGTTATTTCGCGTATCGTGTGTGTGTGTGTGTGTGTGTGTGTGTGTGTGTGTGTGTGTGTGAAATTTCTTTACAGGTAGTCTTTTGCTAATTTTATGAAATCGAAATATCTTTTGAAAAAAAGTTTAAAAAGGGAACTCATTTGTATGTGTCACGTTGTTACTAAGAAGAATGTTTAAAGTGTGCTGTAGTGAAACATTGTTTATTCCATTTTGAGACAAAAGTTGACTTAGATTTCTGATTTTGCATAGATGCAGCAAAATCGTTCATATTCTCCGAAGCATTTCATTCTATGAAAATGAATTTCCGTCTTTTCTAACTGTACACTAATGTGCCATCGAAGTCTTGGCAATTGCTAATGGGCTTTAAGCTGTTTGGGAGATTTCTTGGATTTGTTTTTCAAGTCCAAAGAGTAGAATTTCCCAAAGATTATGATATACATTTATGCCGTATAAGTACAGAATTGTTAAAAAAAAAAAAGTGTGGGTTTGGGAGCTCAATAGATCTAGTGAATCTTGCCTCTATCGCTTACTAAATGTGTGACCTTGAGCATGGTACTTTCCATAACTCTCTGTGTATCAGTTTTCTCACCTGCTACACACCCTCTAAAACAACAAGGTTGTTGTGAGGATTAAATAAAACACTAGGGTGGGAAGAGATTAACCAAAGAATTTGTATGCATATTTGCATAACCCATGGACACAGACAATAGCATGGTGAAGGCCTGGGGCGGGTGTGGGCTAGAAGGGGTCAATGGGGGGAAAAGGGGTACATCTGTAATACTTTCAACAATAAAGATTAAAAAATAAACTTAAATCTTAAGTGCCTAGGTAGTTATTCCTATTAGCAATCATAAGCCATCTACTTCTCAGAGTTTTTCTTGATTGACTAAAAATATATAGGGTTTTCCAAAAAAATTTACACACACACTTTGAATAATTATGAAGGCAATGTTTATTAAAATACATTTCATTTTCAAAATTGAGCAATTAGCTGTAAAATTGTGCATACATTTTTTTTGGTGGGGGGGGGGACACCCTGTATAATGTCTTCTTACATTGAATAACATGTGGCAAGTATTGTATTCACATGGGTCTCATATAAACATCTGCACATTCCCTTAGTTACTTATATGCTAATTGGAAAATGATCCTTAAGGTCCCCTCCTTCTCATTTCATCTTTTGAATATCTCTCTCTGCATTGTAACAGGTGGTTCTGGCCTATCTGGAATCATACTTGGCTTGCAGTTGGTTTTGCAACAGGCCCTAAACATTTTATTCCCAACCTCTTTCTCTGCACCCCCACCCCACCTTTAAACACATGGCATTTTTTTTAATTTAAAAGAAAATACATTACTTGTCTAGGCTATTGTGACTTTTTAACAACAAAAAGGAAGTAAAATTCTGAAGGTCTCCAAGTGTAAAATATTTTAGTGAGATTTTTGTATTGTTGATTTTTAAAAATCACCTGTTTCTTAGTTTGCTATTTCTGGGAAAGAAAAGAAATTGTGCATATAATCAGTTATTTGCTGGACATTAATGCACACATGTATGGGTAATCAGAGCCAGCTTTTCTTCATTGTGTGCTTTCTTGAGATTCCCCCTTTAAGTGTAGATCATCTATTTTAAAAAGGTAATTTGCTGTTTTAACAACAGTCAATTGTTACGAAATTCCTTCTCATTTTCCCCTCAGAATAGAAATAGCAGCACTGCTCCCACCTAGAGAAATCATTGCTTCTTTCACAGAAAAAATGAACAGGACTGGTTCCAGGACATGCTATTCTGTGTTAGAAAATTGACTTGACCCGGCACCTGCTTGCCTAACTCAGTTGCTCAGTCTCTAAGCCTCTTAGGGTAGAGGCAGCTTCCTGTCTCTAAAGAACTGTCCACTGAAGAACTGACCAGCAGCAGCTTGCTTTACAATGCAGATTTCTTACATTGTGCTAACAACAACAACAACACAAACAATAGGTGAGTCTTCATTTCCTCCCCACAAGCAGAAGAGGAAGTTTTCTTTGAGGAGTGGATGTTCTCTCTCACCAGGAGAACTGGTGGTGATACCTACTACTTTGAAAGGATTCTAGTGCCTTAACGAAAGCAGTAAATCCTGGCCTGTTGTGTCCCATCTCTGAAAACGTATTCCTGAAGTATGACATGTCACAGACTCCTGCATGCCGAAGAGACAATTGACCTTCAAAAGCACAGCAGTCATTGCCGTGAGGAGCTTTCCTGTTTCCTTTGTCCGGTGACATTACTGTACACCATGCAGAGGGACATGCTTAATGTAGGCAGAAGGCTAATTTTAAAAACGTCTAATAGATGGAATATTTAGATGTAACATTTTAACTTATTGATACAAATTATTATTAATTTTTTTTAAAAAAACTTTTTAATCTAGAGCCAGGGGTCGTAATATTAGGAAGGTTTTGATAGATTCTCTTTTATTAATATGATTTTTACTTTTTCTCAGACCTTTTTTCAAATTGTTAATTTTTCGTTCTGTAATTTGGAAATTTTAAAGAAACAGGTATAAATGACATAATTCTAAGTTATTCAAATCAAGAGTTACTTGACGTGTGTGCTGGTTTAATAGGGGCAAAATGAAATGTCCAATGAAACCCAAATGTCTAATTCTGTTAAAATAGTGGCAAAGTCCATTATAAGAAGAATATTAGGATCATTTGTGGGAAAAACATCATGGAAATAAATGATGTGTTGGAAACATGTTGCTAATATCAATTTCTTTTCCTCTCATAAACCCTGACTTCACAATCTAGTAACTACTTTTCTTACTCTTATCCAAATTTGGTAACTCACTTAATATCCACTTTCTTTTGAGAGAATAATTTTTCAACTTCAATAATAAACTTCAATAAAGAATAATTTTTAACCGTTAGCAGTTACCTCAGTACCATTTTACATTTATTTAGGGTTTTATAGTTTCTGCAACATTTTTGTATATTATCGTTTTTATGGTAAAATGTACAGCATTATGTTTAATATTCAAAATCATATACATATTCAAGATGGCATTTGATTTAATTCCTATCTTATAAAAATGAAAAGTGAGGTTAAGTGACTTTCTCAAGGTCATACAACCTATAAATAGAGACACACCTCTCAAACCCAAGTTTTGTAAGTTCAAGATCAGGCCTTTTTCATTATAACAAAACAAACCTCATATATTTTCCTGCTCATCTTCCTCTAAGTTTTTCTCCCTATTGTTAGTTCTGACTGATATAGAAAACTTCCCTTCAACATTCAGGATAATTTTCCATTATTCTTTGTTACAAAACAAAATAAAACAAAAATCCAACAACTCAGCACTTAGATTTCCTTATTTTTATTTGTTTTTATTTTTTTAGATTTCATTATTTTTAGTACTTAGTACTTCTAAGCTAATCTAATACTATTTATTAAATAGTGGCTATGCGCCAAGTATTGGGATAATAGCTTTAAACATTTTTCTTTGAATTTAATGCTTATTATAACCAAATAAGGTAGGTAATATCTTGTTCAGAATTAAGAGTTGAGTAACTTGGTTGAGAAAAAGAGCTTAAACCAAGGTCTATCTAGGTTTGTCTTATTCTAAAGCTCATGTCCTTGCAAGCTACACTACGCTATCTCCTTACTTTAGTAGATATACTTATCTATGTGTAGGTCATGATAAGTTTTTCACACAACTATTTGTTCTTTTGTTTTATTATTTATTTATTTACTTTTAGCAATAGCATCAGTGTTCCCATCTCTTCCTCATGTAAAACTAAAACAAGCACACAAAAATA